CAGGGGTTCTCAAAAATATTGTCCAGACAGCAGGCCTGTACTGCAAGCATCTGTGATGCCCATGATTCCTGGGAAGGGGTGGGAAGGTGAGAATCTGAGCAATACTACATACATTTCTCTCTAAAGACACTCCCTAACAACCCCAATCAAGTGTAGACAAAGCACTGGTCAGCCAAAAAGTTTAAGTGCTCCTTAAGGGAAACAACCTCTGGAATGCTGGGGAAGTCATACTCTTTATAATCCCCAGGCAGAACAGACTCCTTCCATACACTAGTACAATATAAACATTTTAAAAAGTAATACTATGTAGACATGGTTGTGAACACGTGCAGTGAATATTCAGCACACAGCTTGGTGTTCCTGTCCTTAACATAAGATGAAAGAGTAAGCAAAACCACTGTAAATAGAACTAAGGGTAACATCTCCAGGGACATGCTGGAAAAACATCTGGTACTTGATTCTTCCCAAAAGCAAAACATTTGCTCCCCAGAAACACGTATGTGAACCTCAGGAATAAGTCCTCTTTAGCCGAGTTGACTCGACTCGAGCACCGACAGGACCAGGCGCATAGAAGACATGTCTGTGCCTTCCCCTTCAATTTCAAGATGAAGTGTCATCAAGGACCTCTCAGCACCAGCTGCGGTAAGTCAATTCACCTGATGTGGCAGCTATTTAGTCACACAGGGCAACCGTTCCCGTCAGGATCTGAAGAATGTCATATTTAATTGAACAAGGGGGAGGGATTACACGGTGAAAAGTCATGTCTTGACGGTTTTGAACTAGGTGGAGGGTCGTATCATACTGTCTGTGCCAGCAACTCTTCTGACACTAAGCACAAAGAGGCACTCTGGTGACATATTTTTTCCCTGCATGCAAACACATCTCCTGTGCCAGATCAGCCCTGGATACACCTGTATTTGCCGATGCACGCGGGCAGGGGAAAAGCAGACCACTCCTAACAAACATGCCAAACTTTTCAGCCCAGCGAGAAGGGAAAATGCCCTTATTCAACACTAGGACTCTTTTCTGTGCTTACCTAAACATCCAGCCATTGATCTTTCTTGATGACCAAGCAGCAAGTCAGTTGGGACATCAGTTTTGCATCATGCTACAGGGAACAAGTATGAACGGCAATAAGCAAAAGAGCTCCTGAGTGAGCAGAATAGAGAGGAGGCAGGAAAGAGAAAGGGTCGATCAGCCCCATTTTGTAGAAGCAAAGAAGGAATTTGATTCCTTTCATGCAGAAGAGACAGAGGCCATTAGCATATTTCACATAAAACACCACAGGTTTTATTCATGCTTTCAGTCATCGTCCAAACCAGCATGGTTTCCAGTTCTCTCTTGAACTTGGTCTGTTCCAGAGCCTTGCCCAACATTGGTCTAGCTCCTAAGAAAACTGCCACACAGAGTCACACCTGGCTCAGGACTCTAACAGAGACGAGCATCAGAGGCTTAGAGAAGTTGTTAACGGGGCTCATTTAAAGCCATTTTTCTCCCATTTTCTCCCCCCAAACAGTTTCCAGGAAGCCACAGCTTGGGGACTTCCTCAGCTGGGGTGTGTATTCACACATTTGTGTTTTAATAGCAGTCGAAGGGCTGCCGTGCCAAAAAAACACGTTTCGAGCAGCCATACATCTACGCGTCAGAACGTACCAGTGAAAACAAAGCAACTGAGCTTTTCCCACCGCGGGGCCCGAGTCAAACGCAGCTGCGGGGCCACCTGCTTCACCCCACCTTCACCTCCCCAGCCTGCACCAGAAACAGGCCAGGGTGGGTTCCAACCTGCAGCAAACTCACAGCATAAGCACAGCTCTAGATGAGAGACAGAAACACCACCGATGGCTTTCTCAGGCCTCGACTTTTTAATAATGAAACCTCCCCAGATGAAAACCCAGCTTTGGGCAGCAAGCCAGTTTAAAATAAAATACAGGTACAAAAGAAAAGTTGGTCCCTGTCTCTTCCCAAGCCAAATATGCCTCCTCTCATATGGAAGCCAGACCTGGGTGTATTAACAAACAACTCATGTCTGTCTTCACCTTTTCTGCTGCAATGTAGGACATCGTGTTTAGACCTCCTGAAGCCTCCAGCTATGAGTAAAACCTCTGGTATCCCTGTCTATGTCCTGTCACTAGATGCTGCATAATGTTTCTCGTGCGAAATCCCAAGAGGAATATAAAACACCACACAAAAAATCCAATTGGAAAAAAAAGATAAGACCCACATCCTTTCTTTATCATAGCAAGGAATGTTTTTCCAGCTTCTGCTTTCCTCATTCTCTACAATATTGCCCTTGCTTACTAGAGGCTTTTGAAACCCCCACTTGATAATGCAATCGCATCCCTCCCCTCATAACAGAAAATTCAGTGATTAAAGCAAAATAATCACTCCAGGGCACAGCAGTTCCCAAGCCATGAAGCAAGACCAGGAGAAGGAGCTGCCAGCTGGGAGGCATTCCTCTCAGCTGTTTGGGAAGCACTGCTCTAGACCCCTGTTTGCACCTGTGTGAACATGCAACAATGTGCATTGTTATAGGATCCAATGGCTGAATTACCAAAAAAAAAAAACAACCCACAAAACAAAACCAAAACCAACACAACCAAAAAACCCACATAACAGCCAAACAGTAAAAATTTAACTCTAAAAAAACCAGGGAAGAGTTATTCATAGTCCAAGAGATATTTCTATGAATAATAATCCTTCAAGTAATACACTAAAAAAATTATCATGTCACATGTTACCACCTTGTAATGTTTAATCCCTACTTAATGACCATTTCATGCATTTTCACACACATTTCACTGCCCCTGCAATATACAAATAATGGCCGTTGAGGAACAGGAGTAATCCCAATTAACTAGAGGTGAAAGGGAACTGAGAATGGTATGCTACTAATGAATAGGGAGAAAACACCTTTTTTTTTTTTCTCCCCTCTACAGTCTGTTGCTAGCAGATTGCATCAGCAAGTTATCAGTAGTATCTCAGCTACATCAATTGTCAGCATCATTCATAAATTCAGCACGTGTTTGGAAACAGATTTTTTTTTTTCTTTAGCTGCAAATATTCAGAGAGGTACAAAACATAATATTACTTTAAGCCCTCCAGAAAAAAAATCACATCCCTCATGTTTTTTTGATTATTTCAGAAATTTTGTTGTTGTACCAGATGCCTCGTGTCTGCCTGAAACCTCATGAGACTCGACCTCTAAGGGCACAGAGAAGCTGGGGCACTTCCATGAGCAACACCTGCAGGAAAATGTGTCACAGGAAAACTGACACAATTGTCACCAAACTCACACGTGTCAAACATGAAACCTTGTTACCTTGATACTGTCTTTTATTTATGTTTTGTGGGATATGTATTTCTACATTGCAAATTCATTCGCACATCATTCTGTCAAGCAAGACAGGCTTCTGCTGCAAGTGTTGTACCTTGAGAAAAAAAAAAAAAGTCAAAAGGATATTTTATGAAAGACAAGCAAACGCTCTAACTCAAAGACAAGGATTTCCAAGTACAGCAAGTAACCCTGAGCAAGGCTTCTAGACAAATGCCTACACCGTACTTAAGGTTCTTTAGGTACTGTCTTAATTCCCTTAACTGCTTCATTTTAAATGCTGAAAACACTAGCTGACTGTGATGTTAGCAGCGTTGGAACAGTAACTAATTCTAATGAGTACACCGGTCTGTGTAACACTAGGACGTGCCACACACTAAATTGATGAGGCTGAAAGCGATAGCCATCGGCCTAAGAAGCTGCAGCCCCAGACCCAGACCCAAACCCACCACCCCGACTCGCCAACCTCAGCCATGATTCACAGCATCTCCCTCTCACTTCTACCCTTTCCCACCTGTACTTGGTAGGGACAACTTTTATAGCAGCCCACCAATATCTGAAGGGAGCCTACAGGAGAGCCAGAGAGGGACTCTTTGTCAGGAAGTGTAGTGACAGGACAAGGGGTAACGGTTGTAAACTGGAAGAGGGGAGATTTAGATTAGATACCAGAAAGAAATTCTTTCCTGTGAGGGTGGTGAGGCACTGGAACAGGTTGCCCAGAGAAGCTGTGGATGCCCCATCCCTGGAGGTGTTCAAGACCAGGCTGGATGGGGCTTGGAGCAACCTGCTCTAGTGGGAGGTGTCCCTGCCCATGGCAGGGGGGTTGGAACTCAATGATCTTTAAGGTGCCTTCCAAACCATTCTATGCTTCTTCCTTACTCCGGAGGGTACTCCCACTAAAATCCATCACAAAGCAAGCGTTTTACGGACCACAGGTCAGGAAGCTGGAAGAGCGGAGCCCAGACTTGGAGAAAGCCAGAAGGTTACAGCAGTCCATGCCCACTTTCTCAGTCCCTCCTTCCCTTTGTACGTGATCTTAATTAAACCTCGGGTGTAAAAACATTTCCTCTGCTCTCACCGTTTCCTGCCTCCCTCCCCTGGTTTGCAGCCGGGCTGGGGTGGGGGGGACACACAGAGCCGGCACCCCCCAGCCCCCCGAGTGCCCCCAGGCCGGCAGCGATGCTCAGCACCCCCCGCCCCCAAGGTGTCAGCCAAACACGGGCAGGATGACGATATTCTCCCTTTTTTTTTTCCTCTCACCCCGACTTTCCCCCTTTTTACCGAGGCACGGGTGACACCCTCTCCCCTCCCACGCCGAGGGGTGGAGGGGGGGGCTGGCTGTCAGGCCCAGCCGCCCTTACCCCAGCATCCCCGGCGGGGCGGGTACCTGCTGCCCTGCCGGGGACCACACCGCCGGGGACCGATGACACAACGGGGACGGTGGCAGCGACATCCATCCCCCCCCCCCCCAGCCTGCGACAGGCGGGGAGCGCCGGACACCCCCCTCCAAATGATGGGGGAAGATGGAAGGGGGGGGGGAAGCGAAGCTGAGGGAAAACTCTGCGCTTGAGGCGGGGTTTGGGTCCATCCAGCCCCCGGCGAGCCCGACCCCGGAGCGGGGTGGC